ATAGAGTGACGTTAAAAATAATATTTTTTTGGCGATACGAAATATTTTGTATCATCAATGTAAACTGAAATATTGATAGCTTTTAGTGATATTTTCTTTTATAATATATAATTAATTCTATAACAATATATTTTACTATATTTTACATATAATAATAATAACATATTATTATGATTTATTATCATAACAAGATAATCTTTTTTTATTTATATACAATACTTAAAACTTTTTTCTTTTTTTATTATTTTTATAAATTTAAAATATTTAAATGTTAAATTTTTAAATTTTTTTTTTTAGGATAAATACACGTAAATGTGACGCAATTTTCATAAATTATGTATTTTGATGATCGATTGAATCCAAAGCAATTAATAACAAAAATATACAATTACATAAATAATTAAACAACTAGAATGAAATGAAATATAGAAATAAAATTCTTTTCTGCCCATTCATGATTTTTAATAATGAAAGAAATAATAAGCTGTTATAATTTGAATTTGATTCAGATTGAAAATAAATTTTTCGAGATGCAGCAAACCAATTAAAAATTACTATTTTTATCGATTTTGTAAATTTGTCTTCAACGATTTATAATAATTTAATTTTTGTTTCCAAGAAACAAATTTTGTCTCTTTTTACATAAATAATTTTACACGAAGAAAAGATTAAAGAAAATTTTTAATTAGAAAAAAATTTAAATTAAAAAGTTGACAAATATTTTTAAATATATGTATATTTATATTTAGAAAAACCGAAAAATTCCAAAGTTTAAAATTTTTACAGAATCTCAAAAATTGATTTCATTTCATCTTTTTCGCACGAGAAACATATTTGAAACAACTTTTTATTAAAAAAATAATCGTACAATTATTTTCACTTCATCCCAGTGCTGTCAGCGTCCTTTTCTTGTTTATATCAATTTGCCAATCCATTGTGCACCGCATTCCAACATCAAAACTCGATTTATTTAAACGAAACGTTACGCACACTTTTGATATCACGACACACATTTATCCTCTATAACATTAACATTATAACATTATCTTCTATGACATTAATTCTTGAGCGGCCAAAGGTGTCCCCCTGCAATGCTTCCACTCTTTTGACCATCATTATCGATGAAACAGCTTTTGCCGCGACAGTTATAACCGATACTCCTTCTTTTTCTTCTTAATCGTTCTAATGGCGGGACGCAATTACCCCAGTTTCGTTTATTAGTTTTCCGCTTCGTCGACTAGGATCGAAAAAAGAAAATCGTTCTTTTTCAGCCAAAATAGATCATCCGCGCCCGCGTTTCTTCATAATTGGCGTTAAATTTCGACACAGTGGTTAATTATAATCGCAAACGTTCGTCCCTATGAATCTCTTTGGAGAAGATTTTTAACTCCATTAATAATATTAAGATCTCACTGCTCCAGTAATATTTCTCTATAATTCATGATTATTCTAGAATTGGCGGTTCATTGTTAGAGATTAATAGGGACATGAATCTTTTACAATTACGCCATAAGTCAATTTTACATTTATAGAATATGTACAGTATTCGTTATAACTTGAACTCTGAGTATGAATATCTAGACTCGATGTATGTTCAAGTAGAATTCTTATTTATTATCTATTGAGTTTTGAAATCACGTAAAAAAAAAAAAAAAGAAATTCGATATTGTAATTTGCATTTATATAATTATATAATTATGATTCTATAAGTTGCAGTTTATATTTAACAGGAAAATGATTGATCTTGGAATCATCGTAAATCCAATATTTCAACATGTCCAATTCGAAACTTTTTTTCTTGTCATTTATAATTAATGAATATTTATGCATTTGTGCAAAATTTGAACGTACAAAAATATAACATTTAGAGAATAAAGAAAATCTAAATTAAAATTCTTTCTCATTTCTTTATTTACTATCTGTAAAAATTTGATTTTGCAAAAAAATTCGCAATCTAATTAATCTAAAAAACATTTTAATTCATACATGTCATTTCATTCATCTCATCTTTCTCGTCATCGATCAAAAAAAGTTAAACGAAAGATGAAAATAAAAATTTCATTGTAAATGACATCCTAGTGAAGACACTATCATGCGTGAGTATTTAAATCATAAAAATTCTATAAGTGTTCAGCTACTTAGATTCGAATTGAATAAGTATCCAACCACTCAAAATTCGACTGCTTAGTAGATCCAAGCGATGATCCCTGTAACAGAACACCGCAAGCAATTCATAATTTCTATTCACTCAATTTCCCAATTTCTTAGACTCATATACTCGCTCATTGAGCGAAATAAATTCTAGAGCAGTGCGAACCAATTCTATATTCGAGACGGGATCGATTTCCAATTGATATTTCGTTAAACTTTAATAAAGAAGTCTCGCAGTGCAAAGGTATATTTATAGCGACTGAAAGAGCGTGCGGCTCGCGTGGGAGTCTATCTTCGAAGAATGTTACGAGAGCGAATAGATACGTTCGGTCAGTGAACCTCCTCCTGGAATAGTTTGCCTTGAGATGAGTGGTTGTTTAAAATCGTACAATCTGGAATCTGCCTTCGATACGAAAGTGAAATACAATCCTCTACAGGGTGTTAATACTGTTCGATTCTGGAGATCAAAGAAACAGATACAAAAGTTGGCATGCAAAAATTAATGGTTGGAAATGTTAGATTAAACTAGAAGATTATTTATTTCAACTGACTTTTTGTATTTGTTTTTCTCTCTTTTTTTTTTTTTTTTTTTGACTTTTAGAATTTGTACTTTAAAGATGTGACGTAAGTAACATCTTGTATGTTACGAGTCCAATCAAATTTATATATATATAGATTTTCAGTTATAGAGGTGAATTTTCTAAGTTTCCTTGATTTTGGCAACGTAAATGTTCGTTTTCGTGTTTTGTCGACATTTTTAGTTCGATGATATGACAGTTGAGTGGGAATGGACGAGATGAATGAAAAAATAAGAGACAATTTGAGAAAATAGGAACGAGATATTTATTATTATTATTATTTGCAACTTAAGATTACATTATGTTTGGTTACATTATGTTTGGTGTCATGTCATAATATAATATCTTTTTAGATTTAAATGGATAAAAAAATATCGATTTTTATAAAAATATTTCAAAGATCATTTCAAAGAATTATTTTTCTCTAATATTTTTATCATTTGCATCTAATACATTATGATCAAACATTTGTTTTAATCATAAAATATTTTTTTCGACATATATCGACAGTTTTGAAGTTATTTCAAAAATACTGAGAATCATGGGATTATTTAATTTAGAAGAAAAAATTATTTAATTTTTATTTCTTTTATTTAATAATACATTTGTTCTTGACACGCGTATTCATTTTTAGCCATACCACAATTTCACAGTTAAGTGAGTAATTTGTATTTTAGTGTTGGTTTTTAGTTTTGTCTTATGAAAATTGTCATGATAACGTATTGTATTTTACTCGTCATTTATTTTTTTAAGAATTTTAAAAACAACGCAGTTGATGATAACCATCATATCTGCCTGGTGATGATCTTTTGAGCTATATTCTGCTTTTAAAAGTAAAGAAAAAAATCATGCATAAACAATATTTTCAAATAAATGAAACAGAAGATGCTAAGTAATATAATAATATAAAAATACAAATTATTCAATTGACTATGAAATTTTATCTATAAAATCGATATAACTGAAAATTGATACAGATGTCAGAAATAAATGTATCAGTATTATAAAAAACAATCTTTGTAATTAAATATCCATTTTCTCACGCTATTTTTTTATAAAAGAGTAATTTTAATTAAAATAAATTTAGTAATGTTGTCTTTTTAAAAAAGAAAAATTCAATAGTAAAAGAAAAATCACAAATTAATAGATATATTAAATCACGCGATCATTTCTCTGTTGAATGAGAATAGAATAATTGTAAAGCACTTATATTCAAAATTATTTTAATTCGAATTCAATTTCTTCTCTCTTTACATAAATCTGTACAATCAAATTAATAAGAATTCCACTTAATAAGTATTCGAATATTTATATTTGATTCTTGAAACGAAGTTCAAATTATGAATAAATGAATGCAAAGTTGATTTATGTAATTATAAAATATTCAACTGGAAAATATCTTTCCTGATATATCACAAAGTTCAACATGCGAATAATATCAATAGTAATAGACAATATAAAATATCGTAAACAATATTATAATAATATAAGTAATAGTAAATTACAATTACAGTACTTTTCTTTTTACTAATGTATATAGAAAATTTCCTTAATTAGAATGAAATTATAATTTAAAAAAAAAAATATAAAATTTCATGTTTGATTTTATTTTTAATTAAAAAAATCTTACGAATCTCACGTAAAAAGTACCAAAAATTTTGTGAAAAGAAAAAATAAAAATAAAAAAAAAACATTGTGTATTTTACTTGCTATTCTTTTTTACATTCAATAGAAAATATAAATAAATTTAAAAGTCTGATTAAATCTAAAGTAAGAATCAATACCTTCTAGATAACTGTAACTCTTTGGTATTCTAAATTTTTGCAATAGAATTTAATAGCTCTCGAAAAATGTCAAAAATTTGATACTTATCGAATCTTTTGCAACAAGAATCAATATCTGTCAAATAACTGCAAAACTTCCGTATCTACCTTTTATAACACACAATCAATAACCTCTTCAATAACTGCAACTCTTCAGTGCCGAATCTTTTACAGCAAGAATCAATACCTTTTAGATAAATTTTCAAAACCTCGATACTTAATCTTTTAACTTATAAAATATTATTCAGAACTTGCAAAGAACTCAAGTAGACAATAACCATACAGTAAGAGTTCCTACTCGAATCTTTCGAATGCAAATTCGAATTACTCGTATTACTCGATATAGATTTTCGAATACACGAGTATTCGAGTATCTCGAATTCTCGAATATTACACCGAAAGTAATGGTAACCGTGTCAATAATCTTCGATTCTCGTGATCTCGACAGGTGAGCGGGCTACGGTTTGAGACGCAGCTGCGTACGCTGAATCAATTTCCGGACACGCTCCTTGGCGATCCGCATAGGCGTATCCGATACTTCGATCCGCTTCGCAACGAGTACTTCTTCGATCGGAATCGGCCCTCCTTCGACGCGATACTTTACTATTACCAGAGCGGTGGCAGGCTCCGTCGCCCGGTCAACGTTCCTCTCGATGTCTTCTCCGAGGAGATCAAGTTCTACGAGCTGGGCGAGCTGGCCACCAACAAATTCAGGTACGAATCGAGTCGATTTATTTATTCATATTATACGGGGGGAGATGGAAAATATTTTAAGTCGATCCGACCGAATCTATCCGGAAAATATTTTGGACGAGAATCATTTATTTATATGTTTACTTATTGACGAGAATATTTTAAGATGAAAAATAAAGAAGATATAAACGATGTACAGGGTGACTTGTTTATATCAATCTACTCGAATCTCTGGAAAATATTTTCCAGAGGAAGATTATTTATTTATTTATTGACGAATAGGTAGAGAACATTTTAACGTAAAGAATAAAGAAAAGAATATAAGAAATGTACTGGATGACTTATTTAAATTGGTTTATTCGAATATCTCTGAAGAATGTTTTAAATAAAATTTGAACGATTTATAAATAACGTTTAAGAAATATAGAACTTAAAAAAGAAAAATTTCAATTTTAAAATATCATATTTAAAATATGTAGTTTACTTTGAATATTTCTTTTTGCATTTGCGCAATTTTTTACGTTTAAATTTTCTATAAATATGTTTAAATATGTTTAAATATCCGCAAAAAAATGAAAGCCAAGAAACACAAAGCGATTAAAACTTTCCTGTTTACGTTCTTTTTCTTTTTTTTCTTTTAAAATTATGTAAAAATTTTGTCTCTATAAATATAAAAACGTATTGCACGAGAAAGTTTAAAAATCGTCGGAAAATCCGAGCGATTTCTAAACGAAATTCAGCTGGCTCGTTTGTTCAGAGACATTCAATCTCTCGTTTCTGGAAAGATACAATGATCTCGTTTCATTCGACTTTCGTTACCACGGAAATAAAAGGAAGGGGAGGAGGTTGGAAATTTGTTCCCTCTTCCAGTCCATTTCTTCTTCTTTGGAAAAGACAAACTGTGCAGAAAATAGTAACGTAAACAGGGTGGTAACGATATACCAAAATTTAAGAAACGATTCAAATAAAAAATCAAGACTAAAAAAAAAACGAATCTCATTAAATTTCTTTTATTCTCGATTCGAAGAATTATTCCTTCTAAATTAATCTCTCTCTTCGACCTAAACCCCCCTTAAACTTTTCCAAAAAAAAAAAAAAAAAGAAAAGAAAGAGTATTACATCGATTAACATCCTCTTTCTTCCAAGAGGAAGGTATATTTCCTCTGGAAATATTTACGAGGAACAAGATTTTATTCCTTTTAAACGAAACACCCTGTATACACTCTAAACAAAACAAGGTTCTCCGGGTGCGGATAACGCGCCATTTACCAATTACGGTTAGAACGGTGAGGAGCGGCGGCGTTAGAGGGTTGGAAAAATGAGGGAGCGAAGGACGATAACGCTGATTAAATCGGCAGGGAGGACGAGGGGTTCATCAAGGAGGAGGAGAAGCCGCTGCCGTCGCACGAGTTGCAGAGGAAGGTCTGGCTGCTGTTCGAGTACCCGGAGAGCTCGCAAGGCGCCCGGGTAGTGGCCATAATATCCGTGATCGTGATCCTCCTCTCGATCGTGATATTCTGCCTGGAGACCCTGCCCGAGTTCAAACACTACAAGGTCTTCAACACTACCACGAACGGCACGAAGATCGAGGAGGACGAAGTGCCGGATATCACGGACCCGTTCTTCCTAATAGAGACTATTTGTATCATCTGGTTCACGTTCGAGTTATCGGTGCGCTTCCTCGCCTGTCCAAATAAACTGAACTTCTTCCGTGACGTAATGAACTTCATCGACATCATCGCGATCATTCCTTACTTCATCACCCTCGGCACAGTGATGGCCGAGGAGGAGGAGACGCTTGACCTACCAAAGGCGCCGGTAAGCCCGCAGGACAAGAGCACGAACCAGGCGATGTCCCTGGCGATACTCAGGGTCATCAGGCTCGTAAGGGTGTTCCGGATATTCAAGCTGTCCAGGCATAGTAAAGGCCTTCAGATCCTCGGCCGTACCCTCAAGGCCTCCATGAGGGAGCTCGGCTTACTCATCTTTTTCCTATTCATCGGTGAGTTCAAAATTCTCGTTCTAATTCTTTCCTTTTCTTTCTTTCTTTCTTTCTTTTATTATTTATGTAATTGTATAATTTTAATAAAATTTTTACAATATCGTAGTGCAGACTCTTGTGCTTCTTCTATTTTTCGTCGTTGATAAACGAGATTTCAATCAATTTTGGTGAATTTTTCTTATGTTATTCGCTCGTGTGAATAAATATAATTTTTTGATCTTCGATTCAAAATTTCGTTGTTAACTTAAATTCTGAAATTTATCGAAGAGATTACTTTAAATTTTCAACATTTGTTAAAGAGGTTAGATTAAGTTTGATTTAGATTTTGTTTGTATTACTTCATAAAAGTAAATAAAAATAATGTATTTTCTACATTCGGTTCATTCATTATTCAAAATTTTGTTTTATCTGAGATTCCTTTAATTTGAAGTTTGTTTTTGTTTTTACGTTTTGTAGATGGATTTTTATTTATGCCAAATTATTTGTATTATTTTTAATTATACTAAATTATACTAATGCCTTTCTTTGAAATAATTATGCAAAGGATAGTTCATTCTGATTATTTTTTTCACTCATTAAGCATTTTCAGTCTTTGAGCTTCTTTGCTAACAAATTTATTAAAAAAATATATGTATCACATATACATTTATTTATTTATTTTATTATTTATTTTATTTTAATCACATAAACATTTTGCTTTGTATTAAAAAAATTTTGTTGAGGATAATTTTATTTATTTATAAAAATAAAAATCAAATGTATAAAATTATTCTCCATTTCAATAAATTATTACTTGATAAACATTTTTATTTTAACAATAAAATAATTTTTTTGAAAAATCAATTAAACTAACGCAAACTTAATCTGTCTTCGACAGTAACATCTTTGATAAATTTTAACTGAATTTAGAATAAAAAAATATTACATTTTTATTTATTTTTATGAAAAAATACAAAGTAACAGTTTCTCGAGCAATCAAAATCTCGTTTAAAAAAAAGTTTGCAGCGATATTGTCGAAATTCAACGAAAAAAGTTCACCAAACTAAATACCAAATCTCTCTTTCCACCCGTCTCTTCATCCCCTTTATTTTTCCTTCGTTTATTAAAATTCCACGCAGGAGACGATCCTTAATGGATGGCGAGAAAGAACCTATCTATTAAACGATTCTTTCTCTTTCCGCAGTTTCTAAAGAATTATACTTATTCGTACATCGTCGTTCCATCGATACTTATCGATACAGAACAATATTGTTATTCTATACATCGAATAACGATCAATCGTTCCACGCTTCATCCATTCACAAACAGTGGACCGTGTTCCAAATGTAGCGAAAACTTTTGTATATATGCGGTTATATTCCTCCTCTCGTGTCGAGCGTGTTTACCTCATCCAGCGGAACTTTGGTCGATTTTCTAGTTTATTTACTACCGCGACGAGTTTTAACGCACGGAGAAAGAAATTCGAAGGACGAGGGATTGGAAATTTGCAATTTAATCGGCTCGACGCTCGCCACCGTGAAAATAAAGTGGCAGCGTTTCGAAGTCGGGAAAATTATTATTGGCTGGCATTGTTCGAAAACCGGAAACACCACCCTCGACATTTTCCAGCTTCCGCTGACCAAGTTTTCCATCGGGAAAATTTCGGATGGCCGGCTTCCCGTAAAGAGATTTACGATCTCGCTTGGATCCAATGATTTTTAATTCGGCCCTGGGATGAGTTCCAATTCCGCCCTTCAAGATTTTTCTTCTTTCTTTTCAATCGTGAAAATGTCGGTTGTCTCAAAATTTCTTTCTTTTCATTCTCCCCACGAAGTAAGGTAATTATGGCTCGAGAAACTTTCAAATATTATAAATATTGCTAAACCAAGGGATTTGGTTAAAAAATCATTTTCTTATTTTTGATTCTGAAAACAGTTTAAATGTTGAGTTTGTTGTCTGATAATTAAAGTTAATTGCGTAAGTTTTGCTAATTTTTAATTAAGTTTTTATATCTGTATGATAACTTGGTTGAAATTTTGGAATGTTGGAATTTTTTAATTTTGATTTAAACGTAGTACGTATTTATTAAAAATATTAATTAATCTCTGTCCTTTTGCAAAATAAACTAATTGTTTGAAAATTAACAAATTAAAAATTAATTAGATTTTTTTAGATATAAGATGTATAAACGAAACGAAAAAAACTTTTGAGACAATCTAAATATTTCTTGAAGATCAACAAGATTTTTCGATATTACGATAATTGAGACAAATATCAAAAACTTCACATTTATAAATTCAGGTATATAGATCGAGATCGAAAATAAAATTTTTTCTTTAGAGAAAATTATAAATATATCTGATATCCCAAATATCATTTTTAAAATAAAAATTTGATAATAATACAGATAACTTACTTATCGACTGATTTACGTATTACTATAATTCATTAAAATAAATATTTTCATTTTCAACGATTAAATTTATATCATTATATCTATAACGTTACAATTAACAATTGCAAATTCAACATTTTTCCCGATTCTTTATTGATAATATAATTATTATTTGCCACGAGTATCTTTAGATATAATAATTTATATAAAATTATCCCATCAAAATCAAAATACCACCCACCAAAAATTATCCATACTCTCGATCGAACTGGAAAGAGAGGGGAAAAAAAAAAAAAAAAGATCTATCGATTCACAAATCGATCCATCCAGAGAGGAGATCGATCGTGTATAACCATACCGGAAGTGGACGGCGAACCAATCGATGCGGATCCAGAGGACTGCTAAGCGGATTTAAGGGATAGCGGACGGGAAAGTAGCGTGTCTTGAAGCGTCTGTTCCTCTTGTGTGCGTTTCAGGTGTGGTGCTGTTCTCATCGGCGGTATACTTCGCGGAGGCGGGCACGCAAGACAGCTTCTTCAAATCGATACCGGACGCGTTCTGGTGGGCGGTGGTCACGATGACGACCGTGGGCTACGGGGACATGAGGTACAGAGCCACCGGGGGCGTTAAACCCACTGAACCGGTGTTTTCTTCCTTGCATTGCAGGTGTGGTGCTATTCTCATCGGCGGTATACTTCGCGGAGGCCGGCTCCGAGAATTCGTTCTTCAAGTCCATTCCGGACGCGTTCTGGTGGGCCGTTGTCACGATGACGACCGTGGGCTATGGTGACATGACGTATGATGTACTCACTTTCACTTAAGACTCTAGTTAATGCCCGCAAAAGAAAGAAAAAAAAAAAAAAAAAAAAAAAAAAAAAAAAAAAAAAAAGAAAAGAAAAGAAAGAAAGAAAACAAACGAACACATTACTTACTTACTTACTTACTTACTTACTTACTTACTTTTTTAACTCTTCTCCGAATACTTTTTAATACTTCTCGAATATTTTTTTCTTTTTTTCTTCGACCAATTCCGTTTATTATATTACGATATTATTCTTCCTACCTTCGTCGTTCTTACGAGCACGTCCTTTCTTTTTCCATTATAATTTTTCCATAATTTTTTTTTTTTTTTGTTCTTTTTCCTCCTTAATCTTTTTCCTCTGTAATCTGTTTGATCGCTTTTATTTTTTGACACAGTTGGTTTGGAGTTACTTGATAATGCTTGATAGAATTGAACACGCTAGTTTTTTTTTCAGAATTTTCTCTGATTTTCACGAATCTTTTTTACTTCTTCTTCATCACTGCTCTATTTCCTTCTCTTGTATTTTTTCAACGTTTTGATCTTGGATTGAGATTCTCTCTCTCTTTTTTTTTTTTTTTTTTTTTGTTTTTATTAGAGCTCTTATTGCGCGGATAATCGAGTGATCGAATTTGGATTGGAAATGTGTATTTGTGATATTTAGATATTTGGATCTAATGTAATTTTATATAGTCATTATTTATTATTATTAGTATTGGTAATTTTTTTATCATTTTTATAATCGTATAACAAATTTTTCTTTTTCTTTTTTTGATATGGAAAAACAAGATGAAACGTATAAGTAACTAGGCATAAATTTCTATTTTCAATGTGTTATTTTTTTATCTCTTGCATCATTCATATACATTTGTAATATTTAAGTCTGTAATCACTGTAAAATCTATATATATATATATTATATGGGAAAATACAGACATTTGCAAATTGCCTCTTATACTTTTTTTTTGTTTCAATTTAAAAAACTCGAAATCAGGTAATTTGAAGTTAATTCACTAATTTAAATATCTATGGTATTTATTCAATTTGGTATTTTATCAAATTTTAAGTGAAGTTCAAGTCATCGATTAGTTTATACTTAAATAATTTTAAGTATGATTTGAACTTTATGCAACTTGATGTCATATATAATTTTAATATTTACTTTTGACTTGATATCTAATTAATCATCAATCATCACTTATTATATTGAAATATTATATTGAAATACTTTCACAAATTTTAAATAAAGTTGAGAATTTTTCAATTTGACTTAAAACTTGAATTTGCATGGTATAAAGTTCAAGTAATCCAAGATAAATTTCATTGGAAAATAATTAAAATGAAAATGAATTAGAAAATTTAAGAGAAATATATTTCGTAGAATATAGAAGGAACTCGTGTCACGATCAAAAATGAAAGAACGAGAAATTTCTTTTATCATAACAAAAATTCCAATAAATCTAAATCAATTTTCAATGATATTTTAACCAAGCTTCAAATTAAATAATTTCAATTCAAACTAGAATTCAAATAACACAATCTAAATGAGACTTTTATCAATGTCATATTCAAAAAAAAAAATTCTTTCAATATTCGAATTCAGGATCAAAAACACGCGCAGCCAAATACTCAATTACTCGAATCCAAATTTGCAGATATTCAAAACTCAAGTTATCCAATCGATAATAAGAGCCCTACTTTTTACTCTACTTCTTCATCATCATCATCATCATCATCATCAAATTCTTCTCCTCATCCGCCTCATTTTCTCTTCCCTTCTCTCACGTTCTTTCTTCCACAGCCACGCGCACATCCTTCCTATCCTCGCAGGATTTCTGTTGGCAATTTCACTCCCGAGCACGCTTCCTCTCGCCAACATGATCCTGCGATCAGAAACATCGCCTCTTCCCTCGTTATTTCATTTTTCTAGATATCGTCCAGGGACACCATCCTTCGATCATCACCATCCCCCCTTTATATTGCTCTCCTCTCGAGCGCTGATTCAGCTTTCCTTCTCTCCTTGCGCCACACCACCCCCCTACCCTTTTTCTTCATCCCTTCTTTTATCTTGGATAAATCGTATCCTGGAATTTCTCTTTTCTACTCGTGAACTTGAATGATCTCGAGAGAGAGAGAGAGAGAGAGAGAGAGAGAGAGAGAGAGAGAGAGAGATGAAACGTCTCTCGATCGAAGCGAGTGGCGCGTTTAACACGGTTAATTGGCCTTTGGAAGAATAATTGAGGGCTGGAGGACGTTGATATGCGAGAGGCAAAGTGACGGTGGAAACTCGATTATAGAATCCAAGCGGGAAAGAAGAGAATTCTCCGATACAGAGTTTCTATATATCTCGTAATCTTGTTCTTTTCTCCGCCCCGACCTCAGTCGAGTAATTTTTTTACTTTATATCTCGCGCGTGCATTCAGATGCAGTGCACAATCATGGCGGCGATTGATGAAAATTATTCGTAACGTTTCTTCCGATTTAAATATTTTCCCTTGTCTTGTTGCTCGAGAGAAAGGATATTTTTATAGCTGGAAAGGTAGAGAGAGTGTTACTTAATAGTTTGGATGATATTGGAAATCAAAAATAAGAGAAAAGTTGGGAAATATTAAATTATGCAAGTCTCAAACAATCTCATATTTTAAACAATATCAATTTATCGAAACACTTTCATGCATTATTAATTTCATATAATATAATTTCATATAAATTTCACACTGATTTGATCTTGTTTTAATCCTATGAAAGTGTGAAAAATCAGTCTTATATTGACATACATTCTCGTATGTCAACTTTTACTTTGACAGAATCGACTCAAGATGTCTCATATTACATTACTCTTCATATATTTGATGTTAAACATGTAAATTAACTCGTTCTGATAAAATCTTCCATACGTATTCGTCTACTCCATACGACCACTCTTTTCAGAAAAGAGATGGCGCTTCACTTTTCTTCGCTTCTCCTCCTCTCTGAACGCGTATTCAACGCGCCCCGCCAAAGGGGAAGATTGGATATGTTCCTATGTTGGCCGATTGTTGGTTAATCTCGCCTATCCAAAGGTGGCAGCGAATTAACGCGTTGCATTCAGGGTGCGATTACGATATCGTGGTATAGTTTCGGCTTGGTTCGAGCCCTCGAGATTCAAGAGCATCCGTGAAGAGAGGCTCGAGATCTCTGGCGTTACGAAAGGGCTTCTTGAGCAATTGCCATCCGTTAAATCAATAAGTGTCCTCGGGCGACCTGTACGGTTCGTTTCTTGGAAACCGGCCGAGGGATCTCGCGATGATTCACGGATCGTCGAGCGATAAACGCGTTAGGAAGCGAGTGATTCGCACTGATCTGAGCTGACACATTGGCCACGAGGCAAGGAAGCGAATCGAAAGTGGAGAGTTCGAAGCTGGTAGTTTAAGTTTACTTAATTATTAGAAAAAGTGACGCGTTGTCCACGGAATGTTGAAAATGGCCTCGTTGTTTATTCAAAATTTCGAAAAATCGAGAATTAAAAAATTAAATTTTCGGCTTTGTTTCTCAGAAATGTTTCTTCAGATTACTTCAGAATGAATGATTAAATAATGAGGAATATTATGAGAGGTATTATTGTAATCTTTTCTTCTATGTCGATATAATTCTTTATATTTATTATTTTTATTATTTTCGAAATTAAGTGAATTTGTCTGACATGATAATAGACAATTTCAATTTCATGCGTAAAGTGACAAACGAAGCTTGGATTTTTTCATACAAAAATTTTGTCAATTAAAATTATGATATAAAGATTCAAAATGTTTAAGATAGAGATTATAAATGATCTAGTGATTTTTATATTTTCCCTAGAAATAGGTACCATTTGTTACTTTCTGTGATCGGTCAGAAACAAAGTGTGAGGGAATCGATAAGGATGAAGATGATTAAAAATTATTCTTTTCTTTATATAATGAGTTTGGGACGAATGAAAAAAGCGTTTTGAGATTCCATTCATTAACTCGAAAAATCACTATCTTCAAAGTTATAGTGATATCAAGTTTTTCCAATTTTTAGTTTGATTAAATTTCAAATTAAATTACGTAATAGATGATATATTCATTTCTGGGGGAGGGGGAGGGAGGGGAATATTATTTATAACATAAATCTTACTAATATCGAAGATTCCAGACTCATTTAAAACTTATCTCAACTTCTTTGCTTCTGCAAGTAAATTGGATCTTTATTTAATCGATCTAGGTCGTGTTTACTTATATTAATTAATTAAAGAGATTTTATGGATTCGGTATCGTCTATTCAACATCTTTTCTAAAGTTTGTCCGAAATAAACCATTGTCTGTTTGTCATTAGTTTTGAAGATTATTTCAACTGTTGTTTAAATTTCTAAAGAAGATTTGCTCGTGTCCATTCTTCGTTGATTCAATATTTAAAAAGATTATTTCAGACATTTGTAGACACATCATATAAAATATACGTGAAAATCTACTTATAAGACACGTTACATTTTTTTTTTGAATCTTAGATACCAATTACTCGAGCAGAAAGTATCAATCGAATTATTTCATCGATAAATCGTTGGCTACATAAAAAGTACCATGTTTGAAACGAAGATCGTTATTAATAGGGGCGTCTATTGTTAAACTATTATAGAATCTGAGTATAACCGATCCTTTGGAAATTAGAGCCTAAGGTTGAGATAGTTGTGCCTCGACGTCGATGGCTACAAAGTAGCCGGAACGTTTGTCCCATTGAAATTCCGCTCGCCAAATGGGAACGAAGCGACTGTTGATTATTCTCATATGCATATATAAATACCGTCTCCGCAATACAGGGTGTTCCATTTACCGTTTGTCGTTTCACTATCATCTTGTGCTTCAATTGTGGGAACAGCATTTACATAGAAATGAATTGTCTTGGATACAAGACAAAATATATATATTTTATAACGTTACTTTCGTTTCTTCTGGGTTAGCTTCGAACAAAAGTTTTCTAAGTAAATTACTTTGCATATT